AATTTTATTTTTGGAAAAGTATGAGGTGTTTCTTTAAGTTGAAGTTGGGTTGACTTTGTTTTAGCTAGAAGTTCCTTGGGTAGTTCAACCAAGATTTTCATTTTTTTAACATACTTAGAGGCATTTTATGTGAATGTTGTGAAGTCTTAATGATGTTGATGAATTCTAGAACCTAGTTGAGAATTGCTTGAGACAAAATCATAGATTAGACATTGTTGAGGAAATGATTTAGGCATTTTTTTTTTTTTAATGTTTGAACCTTTCTAGCCAACCCTGTTTTGAATTGTCTCTAGTCACCCTTTTGAGCCTTTTAATATTATTGTTTTTGTGTGTGTGTGTGTAACCAACAATGTCCAACCCCTTCACTCTAAACACTTTAACACACCCTCTAGGAAAACTCTGTACCATATGCATATCATATAAAGCAATGAAGGTGTTTGAATAAGTGATCGATCATAAAATCATAAGTTTGAGGGTTGTGAAGAGGCAGCAAAAAGGAAAACAACCCCAAATGAATTATCAATTTTTGTAAATACTTTGAGTTAAACAAAAAAAAAAAAAAAAGTGAAAAAAATCATTTCAATTTAGAATCAAAAATAAGAAATTTATAAGTTTGGGGGTTGAGAAAGGTGTGCCATTGTTTGGAGGTTGAGCAATAAATAAGGATCATGACTTGAAGTAGCTCTTTGTGGTTGTATGAGGAAAATTGAGTTCTCTTACTTTGTTTTTCCTATCTTGGAGCCTACTATCGAAGCCTAACATTACAAGCTTATAAAGAACTTTTGATCCTTAGCAATGTCGAGTCTACATTAGTGGAGAGTAATTCAAAAATTAGGCTTGTGGAGTTTGTTAATTATCTAAGAGATTTTGCTTGTTTGCATAATATAATTCGAGAAGTGAATGATGGATTGATTTGGGGATGACTTACTCGAGGAGCTAAAAGTTAATTTGCAAATTTGACTTTTTGGAATATTGAATAATTTTCCTTGAATAATGTTGCCAACAATTTTTTAGACTTGCATTGTGATTTAATCTGGGTATGTATCTTTCTTTTTGTTTTGATTTTTATTCGTTTTTGCTCGAGGACAAGCAAATCTTAAGTTTGGGGGTAGTTGATAATCCTATTTTTTCCTATAATTTTGCATTGAATTTCAATAGGATTTAGGATACTTTTCATACAATTTGACCCATAATTGCTACTTAATTCTATTAATTTTTCTTTGCAAGCCTAAACAATGATTTTGAGCATAAATGATGGTTTTGAGCATAAATTGCATAACATGAGTTGTCAACTCAGAATGACCTTAATTTAGAAGCTATGGAAAGCTAAGAAGCAAACTGAAAACTTTCATGTTTTCGGGTTTTCCTAATTCGGACTTAAATAGGGTGAAAACTTCGCTTGAAGTCGTGAACAACACGTTGGGAACAGAAGAAAAACGTCTTTGGACGTACTTTAGGATTTTGGCCATAACTTGAGTTGTAGACCTCAGATTGGTCTGATTCTTAAACTAGTAGAAATATAATTAAAAGGGATAAACTTAATGTGTTTACCACTTTTTCATATTCAGATGTTATCATGCTCAAATTTGGCCCGAAATATCCTTACCGCAACAAAAGAAAAGCGTCACCGCAGCGAAAATGCATCAAATGCGAAAAAAAAAAAATGACGCATTTTGGCTTACTAGGGCTTCATCCTTAAGTGAGAGGGGTATAAATTGGCATGAAAGGGAAGGGAAAAGGGTCTTGGTTCGTCATTTGGGATGCAGCTCTGGGAAGGAGAAGATTATTAATGATTTGGGCTTCAAATTAGAGAAGATTTCTCCATCTTTTGCTTGTTTTTCAATGATGAACCTTGATTCAGTTTGTTTTTGTTTTTTTTTGTTTTGTTTTTTATTATGAACTGAGCTGTTTAGCTAGGGTTTGATGTAACCTTGATACAATAATTCAAATTTATATGAATTGATTTACTTTGAGTTTTAATTTCATAACTGGGTGTTTATCTCTTTGCTTAATGACTTTTGGATGTTTGATCACCGTTCAAATGTACGTTGTTCACAAAGAGACTGAGAAGTGATTTGTGATATATGCCTCTTGGGATAAATACCATAGATTGAGCGAAAACTAGAGATTGATAAACGCGATCTATGAAATCTAGATAGAATTCCAAAAAGCTTAAGAGACCTTGAACTATTAACCTTCAATTTTTGGGTTCGGAAGGTTAATAGGAATAGGTGGGGTGGTATAACCTGAGAAGGAGCACCAAACAACTTAGAAAATTGGATTTTCAATCAAGGAATTAGAACTTGGGTAATAGATTCTATGATATGGGTTGGCGTATCTAGGTAAAATCAACACCCCAACATTGTTTAGCATTGTTTAATTAGTTAAGTTATTGGGTTTTGCTTTAATTTCATTATCATTTATTTATATTTTTTCAATTTGTTTTTAGTTTGTTAATTTTCCATCAATCCAATTTATTGTTGCTTCAATTAGGACTTGAACTAGAGAAATCAGATCTTAGTAACACTATCCTCGTGGAAACGATACTCTACTTATCACTTTATTACTTTTTGCAACTAGTGCACTTGCTAAATATGCATATGAAATAATCACGTACCAAGTACCCTATTAGCTAGGCTGCGTCCCCCATTGTGGTTGCCACACTCGCCTTCGTGGAGTTCCGCGAGTATATACTTTGCTTCCTTAGAGGTGATGCACTTGAGGAATCGACTCGAGAAATTTCAAATGAGCTTCAATAGATCAAAGCCTCTATACCACCATCTTAGCCAAATCTATTTTCTTTGTGTCATCCAAGTGTCAGTTTCTTTTTATTTTGTTCTCTTTATGCACATCGGAAACAATTGTGTTCTTTTGAACACTTGAACTTATTGTTAATACTTAGTTTTTATTCTCATGATACGTTTGTGTTTTTGTGCTTATTGGTATATAATGCATTTCTTTTCATCATTCTTATGTGTCATTACGATTGTGTTGATGTGTTGATATCTTTTTGCTTAATGACAAAAAGGGGGAGAGATATAATGCATATTTGAGTTTGATTGTGTGAGATACTAAAATATCTTTTGAAATGAATATGTTTTTCTTCTTTGATCTTCAAAAAGAGTATTACATTCTTACTTGAAAAGAATAATGAATATGCTTAGTGTAAGGGGGAGTATTATGCTCACTTTATTTTTCGAGTATGCATATTCTAAGGTGGAGCTTGTCAAATTTTGTTTTTGGCATGTTGTGTATGAACTTATATTATTATTTGAAACTTAATAATTGCTTGGAATTGTCATCAATCAAAATGGGAAGATTGTTGAACCCTCATGTATTTTGATGTGCCAAAACTAATAAAGAGTTAATTGATTTCTAACAAACATGCTTAGGTATGGCAAAGAGTCTTTAACCAAAAAACAAAATGCAATTTTTCCTTTTGGAATGATCGTGCAGGATAAAGGAACGACTATTCCTTTGTATTAAAGTTGCCTAGATGCACTTTCCTCTTAGCACGACAATGTTTCATGTGACCATACATGCTTCTATCCAAAATGGAACCAAGTCGCTCACATCAGCACGCCCGTTCCATCCAAGTCAAAAGTCAAAGTTCTCAAAACTCAAACTTTTCGCGCCTTTGACGTATAGTGGAAGACAAGCCTTGAAGACCAAGTTAAAGATTCAAGTATCAAAAGTGGAACAACCATTCTCCGTGGTGGAATGATCGTTCACACTCAAAGATCGCTCTTGGTTAAACGTCCTCGTTCTAGGTAGTCTTCATACTACTGGAATTTTTATGGATTTTAAGGAGCCAATGGTCAAACTGTTCCTCGTGGTGGAATGACCATACCAGAAACCCTAAAGTTGTACGAATTGATCGTTGGTGTCAAGAACGACCGTTCACAATAATGGAACGACTGTTCCTCTGTGTCTGCAGGCTTTCAGACATGCATTAAATGCAACAACAACTCTTTGCAACCAAGGGAGAAGTCAAGCTTAAATAGAGCACTTCAATGCTTAGAAAACCAGAGAGAATATCAAAGATTCAAGTCATATCCAAACATTCTCACATAATCCCTTGAGCTCAAAATCCAAATCAAAGAATCACTCTCTTGTACCCATTCGTTATCCTTTGAGAGTATTGTTCTTATTTTGTTTTCAAGCCTAAGTTAAGAGGCAATTTTTTTGACACTTTTTATCAAACACTTTATGGGCGAAATCTTGTAAATCTAGATAGGAAATCTTGTCAAACTATTGTAAATACAAAATCCTGTGAAAACTAGTGTAAAGGCGAAATTTGATTCTAGTGGAATTTCAAGGAGATTGCCTAGAAGAAGTAGATGTAGAAGGCTTGTGGATAGAACTCCGAACCACTATAATCTCTAAGCATTTATTCTCTTTCAACTCATTTATTACTCATCTTATACTTGCACCATCATCATCATACTCAAATTTATTACTCACATTCATATATACATCTCTCTCATTTGTTGCTTATTATTGGTTACCCTTTAAATCACACTCATTCATTGCTTATCATTTGTTTAGCATCATACATATTTATTGTATATCCTATTCACCTCCCTGCCCCTTCCCTCCCCTAATCCTCTAGGTCTAATTTACCATATATGGTTTTACAGTGGAGTTTAGACTAAACATATAAAGGATTCGTACCATTCAAAATTTCAATTTTCGACATCTTCATTAATTTTTTTTTATTTTTTTTATAGGAAACATATTATATTTCTGTTGTACCTACCTTGACCTCTTTTGTTTTGTTTTGGCTTTTTTTTTTTTTTTTTCCTGTTTTTATATTTAAAAAAATGGTATAATAATAGCCACTCGCTTGTCTATTTTATTTTTTAAGCATAAAAATAGAGAAAAAAAAATTCATTCATTCAAATAATTACATATAATTAAATAATTAAAAATACTTAACTTCATATAATTTCATTATCATACAATGTTTTAAGAAAACAAAAATAAACAAATTCTCACAATTTCAAACTACAATTTAAATTTCTGAATTTACTTGTAAAAAAAATACACAAAAGGAATCAACAATTTTCAGCTTACAAGCATCCCAAGCTATTGTGTTACAGGAGATCATAAATTTCCAAACACAATTGGGAAGAGGATAACAGAAGAAAAAGAGATCGATCATCCCTAAGTGCTTAAACCAGCAGGATTGTTAGAACAGCGAAAATGCAAAATGAAAATTCACAAACTCTACATGTCAATGTTCTGTTTCTCTACTCTCCGGAAGCACAATTCCTTCTAAGAAAATAAATTTATTGGTTGCACCAAATATGTTGGCCATCTGTAGAACTACAGTTTGAGATATCTTCGACATTGGGAGCACAGACTCTGGAAGACAAGGCATACACTCCGGTTGAAATTTCTTCTTCTCAAAGGTTGGTGCATACAGTGTCAAAACTGTCCAACAAAATATGAATCTGCAGAAAGAAAACGATTTTTATACCATAATTTCGTTCATGGAATTGTAATAGTAAGAGAAACTCAGTATCAGGAAAGAATCATGCTACGACAGATGTTCTTGCAAACAAACATAAACATTAACCAATAGTTTTTCATCAGACAACCTTTATCATGTGCAGATGCAAAATTTCAATCCTGCACAATGAACAAGAGAGAAGATTAAACAGTACCTCAAAAGAAGTCTCCTTAAAAATGGATCACTTAAAATCTGTGCCCATACGTGATCAAGATCATCTGATGTTGCCAAAGTTGATCCCCAGTCATTCAATGATGAAGAAAGAAGCGTCTCCGCCTTCTTATATTTATCCTGAAGAAAATTTTCCTCTTTAATTAACAAACGAAATCAATTGATAAATATGAAGAGAAAGAAGGGTTGATTCCTACACACCATCTCAATTTCAGAACCTGAAACACCAATCAACAAACAGAAGGCCTGCAATGGGGCTGTGAGAAAAATGGTAAATAGGCTACCACTTGGGCTGCGAGAGAAATCAGTACCAGCAATGAGGATTGAACTACTTGGCGATAGGAGCATTGCAGCTGGCTCTCCCTTCTCAGCTCCACTTATAGCCTGCAAAATTTAAATGCCATGATGACATGTAATTAGCATTAAGATATTTTTATGTGACATTCTGAGACCTGTATAGATCATTCAAGATGGACCATTAACAGTTTATATAGTTTAAAAATGAAGAACATATAATCACTTCTTAGAAGTCACATACTAAAAGTTATTCATGCAAGGACTGCAACATTAGATAGAATATTGACAGCATGAAGAAACAAAAACTGGTCATGACATTAACAGATCAATCAGCATTTAATTACACAACCTCTTTAACTGCTCTCTCTCTCTCTCTCTCTCTCTCTCTCTCTCTTATATATAATGAAGAAGCATCTTCAACCTATATATTAATATCTCAATGAGTAGAAGCCTCCCTAATCTCAAAGATGTTACTCATATCTTTGCAAGCAAAAAGTATGTAAATTACACAGTGAATAGCAGAAATAATTTAAAATTGTGATTTGATGGACATAAAAAATACTCCTATATTGGCAGCAGTTATTGAAGAACCCCAACCCAAGCGTTTTTTTGGTATGAAACTTAGAATATTACTAAAAAAGAGTTACATGTATGAAATACAACACATGCCCACAAGATAGCAACGTCATGACACAATTTCCATGATCTATTACTTTCCTCAAAAACTCACTCTAGAAGCTTCCACACAACCACCCAAAGATTTATCATCCTTTTTGTTGCCGCTAATTCACGGGGAGAGAAATGTCACCTCCACCATTAGCGTAGCGACACACCAGTTCAAAATATTGTCAACCAGAGTAACAATATAATATCATCACTGTTGATTCCGGTAATGTCCCCAGCACAGCAATTTCCAAATTCAACAAACCTTGCATGCCCCTACTGCTTAAACTGGTTTTGTACGGTAAAACCTATCTCCGACTTATTGTTATAGGATTATTTTGTTGGAAAATGATTTGCTTAACAAATGGCTTAATAATTTCCTGGCCACCAAAATTTTGCTTGACAAATCACAAAGCTTTGCTTTTTAGAGGATACAAATATCTCTTGCAACATTTCCTAAAACCCTTAATGAAATCACCGTATAAGTCAAAGTACCAAGATTTTTTCAATTCCACTTACATAATCTACATCATATCTCCTTTTCCAAATCCTTAATATCTGCAATAAACCTTTGCAATAATTAAACCTGGACTTAACATTCAACATAGTTATGCACGCTATTGAAAACCTCATGTAAGAATTTAAATGCAATAACAAAGAATAGGAGTTCACATACTTGCCTTAAATGATTCACTACCATCACTGTCAATTACTATGAAAAGTGGTCTTCTCGTGAAGGGAATAATATCAGAAGGATAAATGCAGCTTAATCCTGGAAAAAAAGGACTACCTGATGTCAAAATAAGCATTCTAGAATTCTGGTCATACCAATAGCGAAAATCATGGTATAAAAGAGCTTCTATGCATTACTTTGGCATAAAACAATATACAAAATGATAATGAGTCGTAATTTTGAATTAAAGATCAATAAAACCATGAAAGAAACAAAAATTTAATCAAGAATTCATAGAAGCTCTTTAACATGAAAATCATTTTGGCAATTAGCCACGCAAGTATCTTTTCTTATATTGATAGGAAACAAGGTACAGTTTGTTTTCAGTTCATAAAAGGATTTAGAATTTAGTTAACCATCACTAGTATCTAGTCGTTGTGCAGCAAGAAGCAAGGAATGAGTCATGCATTTTTATCAAATTTCATTAGCAGAAGTGAGGTTAACAAGAAAATTAATATTTGCAGAATATGATAAGAGAAATTAAGAAAAAAAATCTAGAATTGGGGTCATGTATCCAATCTTATTAACCTAATTCAGACACAGGGTTCAGGCAATCACATAGTAAGCTGAATGGAGCAGAGTACCTCCATTTCCTCGAGTACCAAACTGCAAACAGCCAGTTTGGTAACATAAACATTCTCCTCTCCTTCGCTGTAAGGTGGGGTTTGTGCTATTATTTGTCGAGCTTGATGGAGAAGTGGAGTAGGCATCTGAGGAAATGGTATGAGACTCAAAGTTCCTGTTACTGTTATCACCAGTGTTCATAGAAGGTTCGACACCTGATGGACAAGAAATACAGTTTTCAACGATTCCTAAAGCAATATGAATAATGTAAAAAGCATGACCACATCACCTATGATAAATAAAAATTCCACAATCATGTGATTTGAATAGCAGAATTTGATTAACCTGATGCAGATAAATATATTAAGAGAACACCATCTGGAGGTAGCTCCTCACAAATTGTGGCCAAAACCTGCCAAGAAAAAGCACAAGTATTGGTAATTTATAACAACACAAAAGTATAAACTGATAAAATACGGACAATAAAGGTTTTTTATTTTTTTTATTTTTGATGAGCTATAGACCACTTGACATGTGCACCTAATTGGAAGCTAGGCTTTACATATTACTGCCAGATCCCACAATATTATTTCCAACCTCCCGATTGAAAACCAAGGATCATACCATCCAATTCACTACTTGAGTTTATCTCCCTTCTAGAAAAATATAGTACATATCTATTTTGAGCACTATCGATAACACAGCATTATCGGCTCAACTCAACACCTCAAAACCTCTCTAAATGTTTCAATACTATATGACAGAAACATTGACAATTCCTCAGCCTTATCTATGATACAGACAAACCACTCAAAATTCTCCTAAATCATTGGAAAGGAAAGATGAATAATGAAGAGAGAGGTAAATACGCTGTAACTCCAGACCTGTCCAAAAATTCAAAAAGAGGCCAATTCCTTCTCTCCCTAACCAAAAATATGAATAACTAGTTTGCACAATTTTATTTGTTTTTTCAGTTTTGCTGCATCAACTCAGCTTCTTTGGACCTTAAACAAATCTCTTTTCATCTTGAGGAAAATGAATTATTGTCCATTAAAGGGAAGTTGTCAAGGAATCCTGAGTTTCCCATTTGTTAGGTAGTCAATGGCATAGAACACCCACTAGTAAATAAACAACTCTTGCTCCTCATGACGGCCTGGACCTATTTCTAATCATGGTATTTACATCTATCAACTAACCAACTTAACCTGATCACTATCAGTTTAACAAATGAAATTTATAAAGAAGAAATACATGACTTAGAATTTATGTAACCTAATAAGTCAATATTAAAGATATAATAAAGCAGGCAACAGGTTGGAAAAATTAATCTCTCACAACTCACTGCTATAAAATGTGTCACAGATGGACGATGTAAGATGGCTTTTCGTGGGTTAGGTGGTAAGGTAGGATCAGCAATATCCTGAGAGTAGTTTACGCGACTAGGCCCTGGGGCCCCATTCTGACCAATTTTAATATTATTTGACTGGAAAAATGAACCACTGGGTTCCCATTCTAGGCACTGAAGCATCCTGAAGGCATCAAGAGTGAGCTCTGAAAATTTGACCTGACCAATAAATGCATTAAAGAAAAAAGAAAATCAAGAATTGCCCAGGGTATAATTTATAATAGTATCAAGAGAACTGAGTTATTCAAACATTTCAATTTCAGAATATGAATAAAGCATCTCCCATTCCATATATTGATGACAAGAATAGAAAAAAGGATATCTTTAATACCTAACCTCATTATAGTGGTAGCTGCTCAAAATAGCATCTCGTAATCTTAAGCTTCTATTAGCAGCAGAAGTGGCAACATGCAGCAGAGCATCTGGATGAGGGTCCAGAACAAGACTATATCTTAAAGGCCTAATATTCATAAAAGCCGTGTCAGCTTTCAAAAATCTAACTATTTCCTGAACCACCAACTTCCATTCCTTAAAGTCTGTTTCCTGGAAAAAATATCATCTGAGGATCATCATTCTATCCATGACAAAGCAAGCAACTGTGAAAGAATTTCTATCACATTTCATGAAAATTCAAGAGAGAACATTCAGACATCACGTGGAATTGAATGGTTTTACAGTGCCTTGGATAACAGTCATGAAGAAACACATGGAACGATCACGAAACAATGAAAACCATCAGTACAGCTTGTGTCATATGTTCAACATTTAGACAAATGGCACTTTGCTGAGGGGTCGCAACCAATCCCAACAAATATTCAATACTTCCTGAAAGACTTAATGATAGAATAAAATAAAGTGATTTGAAAATTTGAAAAGGCTAACTTTAATGGGAAATCTAGATACACTCCACCACAGCATACAATCATTCACTCCAAAATTTCCATCTTTCTTTTCCATTGTACTTCTCTTCCCAACCCCAGACACATGCAAATGAATTTTCAAACTCCTCTTCAACAAGTATTGATTTTCAATGATAGATGTGAATAAAACATTATACAGAAAATAAAACAAGAAATATCAAGTTATAATGACCAATAAAAAGATGTGAAGAATGTTTACTACAAAAATATACCGGAAATGTCCTCTTGCATTCATCAAGCAACATTTTTAGATGATTAACCAATTGATGTACCATCTCGCGTCGGTTCAGAACTAAACACACCATCAAAAACCTAGCAAGAAATCTCAACTGTTTGTTTGCCAGATTCAAATGCTGATACAATCCATCTCTAAAATATTCCCGAGTCAATATTGCATCATAAAAGATATATGACTCAGACAGATAACTCATATCACTCGTCCGCATATATTGTCCAAAATAAAGCTGAGCTATTCGAGAGGCAATCTCCCCAATTTCCCATCTTTTAAGCCCCGCTTCAACCAGCTTCTCTCGGTTCTCTTGTTGAAACTTCCACAGCTGCGTATACACCTTGAATACCTTGTAAAAGTATGTGTCATACCTAAGAACAGTAACAAATCAAGAATAACCCACAATTTATGTTGCTCTTAAAGGCTCTCGGGCAACACAACAAATACTTAAAAAAAATAATAATAATAACTAATAGGTTCAAATGAGAAAAAAGTAATATACTAACTAATATTCCACATAATTTTATTTCTCCCACTAGGGTTTCAAAATTCTAACTCTAAATTTCAAACAAAATTAAAAATTATAGTATTGGTACATACTAATCAATATTCCATAAAATCTTCGTTTACTCTTTTTTTATTAATTTCTGTTTATTGGTATTTCTCAATTATATTGTTTCTGCAGTGCAATAACCTCATTTAAACAAGCATATATACACTACAAAAACAAAACGAATATGTTTGCTTATTCAAAAGGTTAAGGATAAATTTAACAAAGAACAATAATGCTCAAATTTACAATCAATTACTGAGGAACACTATGATTTAAGAACTTCCAAAGCAAAAATCAAGTGATATAACATGAATTAAAGAAAAAATAAATAAATGAAACTGAGAGAGTAACCTGTTGCGCTCGTAATACGGCAAGTCTCTGATCTTTGAAAACTTCTTGTCGGCTTTTTCGACGAGAGACCAATACACTTCGCTCACCGGAATATTATTACTAGAGTTGTTATTTATATTGCAATTCATGTTTTGCTGCGACATCTTAGTTTTCGGTTCGATTTCTTCAATTCATTGGATCGAATAATCGGATCGTCCACCGAAACAAAACGAAGAAGCAGATTGACCTGGAAATTAATTCTAGTAGACACGAAACACCGAGTTAATGGTGCTTTCTGTGCTTCGTTATTGTTAGTGATTGCCTGATTGGGGTTAAATCTCACCCCTATAGGTTCCGTCAATAACAGTCAAAACACACTTACACCAGATTCAGATTATTAGGTTAAACGGGAAACCCCAATCATAATCGATAAAATTTGACTTCTGGGACATCTCAAGTTTCCATTTAACAAAAATCGCCTTGAAAATCTTTTTCTTTTTTTTTGATTTATTTTTTAATTTAGAAAAATTAACGTGGCATAATTAAGATTCATTAAACATGTAAAATAGGTTAAAATAAAAAGATTCAAACATATATAGGCAAAATCATAATTAACAAAAGTTATTTAAAATTTGAAATTTAAAAATGAGCCCCACCCATTCAAATCGCTTAATCAAAACGCATTAGGCAAAAATCGATTTCTTGAACCCTAAACCCATTCTCTGCGATTTTCGGTGACTACAGTCCCACATTCTTGCAAATTTTCGATCCATTTTCAATCCTAAAGTTTCCTTTCTTAAAACCATGGCTGACATTCACAATGAGGAGGAAAACCCAACGCCACTTCGAATACTAGTGTCCGACGGCACAAGCAGTTCAATGGCTGCTCTGGTGGATCATTCGATCAGTGAAGGTGGTCCATAGGCAGAGGGGACGGCGGCGACACAACAATAGAGAGAAGAATCGCAAAACGGTTCTACAGAGGAGGAGGCCAGCGAAGAAATGGTACGTATTTTTACTTGTTTTTTTAATTGGATGAGAAAATGGATGATTTGTGCAAATTTGGGGGAATCAGCAAAGCATGCTTGCTAAGTGATGTTACTTTTTAAATGTCAAAATGGAGAATAGGAAATATTTAGGGTTTAAATGTTTTGGGAGTTTTGGTACTGTATTGTATTTTAGTTCGCCGTACCAATTCTATGCTTAGCCTTTGTTTGGTGCATGGTTGTGGTGTCAACATCTTTCATGTCACTGATGCTACTGGTTTAGATATGTGATGGTGTACTTCTCGTGTACTGCTTGTAGATGAAAAACCACTGGTGGAATTTGAATGATTAAAAGCTTTTTATTCTATCAATGCTTCTATGCGGCTCTGATTAACCTGCCAGTTTAGATCACATGTTTGAATTTGTGTGTATGTGATGTTAGTTTGATGGCCAATCATTTGCTTTCAAGAGACATGATCTAATTTAATCATTCCTTGAAGGAAGTGATATAAGAATTTGGTAGGTTTTGTTTCTTTACTTCAATCTTGAATATATCGTTAGAAGAACCTTTTACTTGCTTATTATTAACTGATAATGCCAGATCTTGTGTTTTGTGGTGAGGTTTTACTTTTCTGTTGCCCAAAATGGAAACAAGAAATTGTATTTGGTTGTTGAAACACTTGCCTGAAATTTTTCAAGTAATTGTTGATTAAATAAGAGAAAGTTCTGTATTGAACTATTGATAGATGGATTAATCAGGGGTCATTTTTATCCTGTGATGAAATAAGAGAGTGCAATTAAGTTTTTGAATTCAGTAAATTCATATATCGGTAGGAAGAAATGTATGCAAGTCGTGCTATCTGACTGAAAATGTCAACAGAAATGCTTGCTTGATTTTTAAGTTTTAGAAAGTTAGGTTTTAGAAAGTAAAGCCAAGCTTATGGAACTAATGGTGTCAAAAACTTGTGCTGTTGCCTCTATATTTCCGCATTTAGCATACATGTCAACAAGACTTGTCCAGAGGGATATGTTGTTTAGTTTTTGGAAGTTCTTGTCTATATAAGCATGAATCCATTTGTCATGATCAATCGCACCTAAATAAGCACAAGTTGGAAGAATGCTTAAAAAGGTGACATCATTATCGTAGCATTTGCCGAAACAACATTAATGCTTCTTTGTAGTGATTCATTTGAGTATAGCCAGCAATCATAATATTCCATGAAATAACATCCCTTTGCTCTGTACTGTCGCTTAAGCGATTTAAGATCACTTAAGTGATCATGTCCGAGGCAGAATCAACATCTGTCCAGATCTAATATCGCTTAAGCGATCTTTTGTATCACTTAAGCGATTCATCGCTTTTATTCTTGGTCGCTTAAGCGATTCTTGATAGCTTAAGCGATCTTGTCCGAGGAAGAATCATATGCCTAGATCTAAGATCGCTTAAGTGATCTTTTGTATCGCTTAAGCGATTCATCGCTTTTACTCTTGGTCGCTTAAGCGATTTTAGATCACTTAAGCGATCTTGTACGAGGCAGAATCAACATCTGCCCAGATCTAATATCATTAAGCGATCTTTTAAATCACTTAAGCGATTCTTCGCTTTTACTCTTGGTCACTTTCGCGATTGAGGTGATCACTTAAGCGATCATTTCTGGAAAACTCTTGGTTACTTAAGCGATATATGTGGTCGCACATATATCGCTTAAGCGATCATGATCAAAACAAAATTTTCCTACTTTTCTCCTGAATTATGTAATAACCTCTCTTTATAGAGCCAATTTCTAAATTATTATGATTGTGATACATTTCGACCTCACTCATTTTGAGTATATATCAATAAGCGCATTAATAGTATGAAGATTAGTACCAAATCTATGTTCTTCAATCCAAGAGTGAACCCAGTTGCCCAATTCAAAAGAACCCAAATGAGCACAAGTGGAAAAGACAGTAACCATTGTGCTTTCATTAGTAACAACATTTTCATTAAAAGCCTTTTTTTTTTTCTTTTTTTTTTTTTGTCATACACGTGGAAAGATTAGTTGAAAAGTTGATTGTATGATGCTTTTTCTTTGTTTACAAAGTATGTTGGTAGCCTATTAGTTGTTTTGGTTTTTTTTTTTTTTTTTTTTGCTGATATTTTGTTTATATTGATTGTGTAGATTTTTCGGAGCATAAACTATAAAGACTACGGGTTGGAGATTGTAAGCGATAAGGTACCGTATTTCCCTATAAGGGTGATAGTAAGGTCAAGTTGGGAAGTTTTTATGAGAATAAAGGGGATTTTAAAAGGAGTGAGGAATGGTGAAGATCGATTCAAAGAGACTTGTTTCAGTCATTTTTTGGATATCAGAACAAATTGGAAAAAGGCATTCTGGGGGCAAGGAGTGCATTATATATTGCTACACAGTAAAAAGCAAAAAAAAAGCAAGAAATGTGGTTCGTGGTGGATGGAAAGCCACTACGTTTTGGGATGATGGAATATGCCTTGGTGACAGGCTTAAGATGTGGGGAATTGCCAGATGCGGTTGAGCAAAAAAGAATAAAGGAAAGTAGGGCAGCCAGAAGCTTGGCTAACAAGGTTTTGCGGGGGCAAGCATCTATTATGGGACGCGATTTAGAGGAGAGGTTAGAAGAAGGTGGGCTAAGCTCTTCAGAGAAGTTCAAACTGTGCTTGGTATTGTTCTTACATTTGATCCTAATGGCTACTGACTCAACAAAAGTCGTTGATACTGATTGGGTGATGTTTGCAAGCAACTTGAACTTCTTTAATACTTATCCGTGGGGACGGGTATCATTTAAGCGAACCATGGAGTCCTTGCAACTAAAATAGATGGCGTTAAAACACTCCCAATGGGCTGGGAAGAATAGATCAAGCACGTACAATTTGTTTGGCTTCCCATAGGCAATGCAGGTAAATATTAATAGCTTTTTGTTATATTTTTTGTAATATGTGTTTGAATTATAATATGGACTATTTTTTTACAATGTAGGCTTGGATTTATAAGGTCGTCCCTGTCTTGAAGACTTCGGATGTGCGACAACAATTTCCTAGGATGTTGCGGTGGCACATCGAGAAGTGTACCCATTGGGATTATGACCAAATAGACATTGAAATTCAAGCAGCTTAGGTAAGATTAAAGGATTAAGCTTTTGAATATGCACTTGCTTTAAAATGTCACTTAAATCTGATTGATTTTGTTTCTTATTGCAGGGAGTCATCCATCCCTTTCTCACTGCTACTAGGGGTGAAGCGGAACAGCATTATGTCACATCTTTCCAACCATTGGAGAATGAAAGCGATAAAGGGATATACCGCCTAATGTGGGACCTAGAAGGGGTCACGCATGTTAGGGTAGTTGCAGGGCCACTACTTGAGAATGTGGTTGACGTTAAGGATGATGAAGCTCTAATCGGCGGGAGGGAGGAAGAGGTTTGTATGCCTCAGTAAACCAGTACAACAAGTATCGCTTTGCCGAGGCGTTGGGTCGGGAGAATGAGGTGGTTGACCTCATAAACGGTCTGTTTGGGAGTTTTACAACAGCCATTTATGAGAGGTTTGAGAAGATGTCAGAGTGAATGAAAAGGGTGGGGGAGAAAGTGGATAAGGTGGCAGAGAAAGTTGGTAGGGTGGAGGAGGAAGTTGGTGGAGTATTAAAGGCGGTTGAAGTGCAACTTGGGCTGAAAATAGAGAGCCGAAAGAGCAAGTTTGTCAAATCGCCTTACATCGTAGTAACACATGGAAAGAAGAGGAAAATGAAGCAACAAATTGAGGAAGAAGCAAAAATGGAGGAGGTTAAGGAGGTTGCTGGAGGAAGTAGGGCAGTGATAATGGAGGAGGGTGAGGCGGGAGGCGAAGAAAGCGAGGATGTACAAATGGAGGAAGGAGGAGGAAGTGGGCAAGCGAAAATGGAGTCAAAGGTCGATTTGTATAGGCCAATAGAGGAGGAAAAGAAAAAACTCTTCTATGCCTATTACAATGAATCTGGAAGTGATGCCCATGTAAAGTGTAAGACCGGGGATTATCCTCGGGACTGGTTTGAAAAGATGTTGACGATGGGCAGGTGGCTTGACGACTCGATGAGTTATTTTCGCTTAATTTTCCTTATTTTTGCTTATGTTTTCCATGAGCTATTGTATACTTATCATGTTGTTTTTATTTGATGCAGCACATCGATGAGGTATTGGCACTGATGAGGCTACGACAAACCAGTAATGGTGATCTATTATATCCTGATTGTGTCATCACCGATGTGGCCTTTGGTCAAACGCTAGTAACGACATATTGTAGTTTAATGAAAAAGGCCATTGGTAGAGGTGTAGGAAAAGGAGCCAAGCGAAAAAGATTAGGCATAGAAGACTTAGACTGCGTCCTTGATGATTTTAAGTTTGATGACAGGATCATGCAGTATTGGAGGAGGAGGAGGATCAACAAATTTCACTCATTTCAACTTC